TTACAAAACATAGCAATAAAGGTGGACTGAAGGTCATCTCTCTTCAGGAATGTATCGAATATGTAGGGAAGCTGAACGAGAATTTCAAAAATGTAAAGATGTACTCCTTCGTTTACAATCAGCCATCACAAAAGAATTAGTTGAAAGAATAATTGATAAATGTACGCATGTGGCCATGCCAGAATGCTGTAATCTTAAGAAAGTAATTTATTGATAATTTTTTTATTACTAGATGCAAAGGCCTTACACAGCATCTTATCAACAAAAGAGCCCATAACGTTTCATATTCATCAGCATCGGCCAATAAGAAACAAAAAGTAAAATAATTTTAGAAGGTATGTATGTTTTATATTAAATAATTTATGTGTTTTTATGTAATATGTATTACTTTTCCTAGGCTACGAGGTATATAAATTTCTGTGTTTGATGTTATATATGTTACTTTCTGCTAGGCTTATGAGTATATTATTATGGTATTATTTTCTTGTTTCTAATATATAGAAACATAGCATATTTTCCAGTATAAAATTTCAGTTAAGTTTTACTTAAAAGTGGGGAAAAGCAGATTTTTTTTCATGCATGATCTTTATAATACTGGTATGAAATGAATGAAATTTTAATCTGTAAACAATTTTTGTTAATATTGAAATGTTTCCTTTGGGTACATTTTTTAGGCACTTGTGGATCATGTCAGACAACATGCAATAGAAAAAGATGTCCGTGTGCATAAATTTTCCCATTGTGTTACTTCATTTTATCTAAAATTTCAAGGATAATTCTTTTCATTTTTATATGGCATGTTATCAGTATAAAGGCTAGTGAAAATAAATTGGTATGTGTATCTGTTTTTGAAGTGTAATGCTTAAATAAAAAATGGTGTGTGTTTTCTTCATTTAAACAAAATTTCAAGGATAGTATTTTTCAGCTGTTGTACTGTTTGTTATTTCTCAATGTAAAGGGTAACAAGGGAAAAAAAACTGGTATGGTACATCTGTTTTTTAAGCATGATAATTTTATTTATTTCTTTAGTGATGCATATATATAGAGAGAGAAGGTATTTGGTCCAACTGAAGTTATAATAAATCTAATTTTACTAGATCTCTCCCTCCCCTCAGGTGTAGAAAATTTTCAAATGCAGAAAGTTTATTTGCAGAATTAATTCATTTCTGATAAACTTATTATCATTAATTTTTTATATAACCATGTTATTAAGTTACACGTTTGACTACTGTGTAATAAACTTGTATTTAGGGCAAAAAATTAACTATTTTGCAGCTGGTGACTAATATCATATGCTTCTAAGAATATTACTTTAACTTTTTTCATAACTTTTGTATTTCAGGAACATGAAACTGTTATTTTGATATACTTAAATAATAAAAGTGTGTATCTGAATCAATTAATGGATACAAATATTTTACAGTTATTTTTAGAAGATATTTGCCATATCGCTTCTAATAATTCATAAAGTATATTAAAATATAGGTAAATAATTTGGTGCAGAATTCAAATTTAGGGTTTGAAATATAGTGAATCATGAGACTAAATGATTTTTATTGTCATGATTTGCCTGGGCTTAAGAATGTACTTTTCGCCCGGTGGAAATTGTCATCAAACTGTCCTGAACAGGCTTTTTGTTGATAATAACTTCCAGGCTTATCAGTACCCACCTCCTTTGAGTGGAGGGTATACAAATATAGTACCCAATTTAAATTACATTGTGATTGTAATAATATTGTGGTATTAAATAAGTGATTATAATTACAATTTAGATAATTGCTTTGTAATTATATTACCTTGTATCTGTGAACTCTTAATTTCATTACTTTATGCAATTATGTTGTAAGTGCATAATCTAATTGCAATAATATAATCTATTCACAATTACAAAATATTATAAATGCAGTTACATCTTAAATAGAGGCCATTTTTAATACTTTTAAATTTTTTGCAAGATAACTTCCCATTAAGGTTCATTTGGAGGAAACTATGCAATACTAAAAAAGAAGTTATGTTAAATTTACATATTTGTACAGTAGTTTCTTGTTATAATGCTGTTCAATATATCTTCAATACTTTTGTAAATTTAACGACATTCTTGCAATTACTGTGGGGCTTTAAAAAAGAAGTTTCTTAGTTATGCTTTCTAATAAGAATGTGTTAAAAATTAAGTATTATGTATAATAACTAACAATTAAAAAAACTTGACTGCATGAAATGCTGTTGCTGGTGTAAAATAAAAAAAAGCTTTCTTTTATGCTTTGAAATGAATTACATGTGGTTAAGTCGTCCTTTTACAATTTAAGAATGTGGTTAACACACATTCTTAAATTGGACAGGTTTTATCTAAATTATTAGTATAAAATATATAAACTATGAATTATTTTGTAACATAACTCAAATTACAAAATTCATTCTATATACGTTCAAATTTATTATCTTTTATGGAATAACTGTTTTTTAATTTAGGTAAAAATTGGATTTTTAGAAGTATTACAAATACAATGCAACACAAAGGTGATCTGATTGGAGAGGAAGGACTTTTTATTACGGTTTCTAGTTCGTATTTATATTACATTTGGTGAAAGTCATCCAAAACACAGAATGCTGTACTTTCTTCTTCCATATATGTTATGAAATATTTCACACATTTAAAAGAAAGTGTTTTCTTCAGAGTCTTGCACAATTATTTCCATATACCTCAGACTAAAATGACAACATATTCTTAAGTTATTTTTTTAGTATGAATTTACAGTGTTTTTATGGAAATTTTTTGTTAAAATGTCATTAAGATAAATTTATTTGCACACTCTACGCTTTAACTATTTCCCCATTTGACACTATTGAAAGTTTTTATTCATATCTTATTTATTTTAGTCTGCTAACGAAACTGAAACATCTAAAGAATAAGTTATTTTGAATATGTTTACAAATATACGCGAAATTTTTATTTAAGTGAAAACGTCTATATACTATTCGAGAATTAATTAATTATCCGAAAAGTTTTATGTGCGCTGAATGCCGCGCGTCTATAAAATAAATCTTTAAAAAAAAAACAGCAGACATTCAGCCAGCGTGTGCGATAAACGCGCCAAAATTGGTAGCGCGTTCTCTCCCTCGCCAAGAGAGAAAAGTTGGTGATTCAGCCTGGTTTAGAGGAGCCTTAGTCCACCTGACGGAAAAATTTCCGACGCGTCGATCTCTGTAATGATCGAGACGATAACACCAGACTCGCTCTCTGTCGAGTAGATCGCAAAAAGCGACCCGTTCTTCTATCTCGACGGTGTCCAGACTAGGGCCCCTAGTAAGGCTCCTCTAAACCAGGCTGAATCACCAACGTTGGCGATGGCCATATTGGCGATGTTTGGCGACGGGTACATTACCAGACTAATTTATTATCTATTATTACAGAAATTAGCGATACTCAGGTTGTTGTACCACAAGACTTTCACTTTACACTTGCACATTATAAACATCAGAGAAGATATAAACTCTAAATGAAGGCGTATAACATTATACTTACTAAGCAAAGTTGAGCGCCTGGACCAGGTTTCCAATTGCCTCTTGGGTAATTATTTACCCATGTTTTTCTTCTTCATTCATTTTTAGGAAATTTTACCATTTACCTGTCTGTGAACGATTTGAGGAATTAATAACTGCACATCTGCCCATTTTACACAAAAAAAACACAAAAAATTGTTGCACCTTAACCATTCAGCCGCCATTAAATCTCCCACTTGGGAGCGCGAATGCCTGATGATTGAACCTGGTTTATAGGAGCCTTAGCCCCTAGTTAAAAAAAAAAAAAAATTCATATGAAATGCTACGAAATAATTTTTCTATCATTATCAATCAAGGACGGACTAAAAATGAATACTATGAAATCACCTTAAAGTAATCTTTTGTAGAATGGCAACAATATTTTTTGTTTACTTTTGGATTGTCAACCACAGTTCTATTTCAAATAACTTAAGACTATTGTATGTAAAACCGGCGAAAGCGAATTTTATTATTTTTTGCTTTTATTTTAAATTTTCTCTGACAGTTTATCCAAATATTCAATAAGTTTTTTTTTTAAATAGTACATAATATGAAGATTTAACCATGTAGAATATCGCAGTTGAAGACAGAATATAGCAAATCAAGCAAGAAACAACAATCGATCACCTAGCAGATACACGGAAGATTTGACACATCTAATATTATCTGCAGATAGTTGCATACTCATTTTGAACTGTCGTAACTAAATTTTGGGAATGGAAATTGATCCTGTGGAGCCTTATGTGTATTCTAAACATACACATAGAGACACACATAAAATAAATAAATAAATAAACTAAGTTTTCAGATTTTACATTACTCCCAAAGGGGCGTTTTCTTAACGTTTTATGTGTTACCTGTATTTATTAAATTTCATGTTCTTCGCACTAAACCATAAAATTCAATTCAACAGAAATATTGCAAAATAATTTTAAAATGAGCATATCTTTAGAATTTCTGTTACACGATCTCGCGCGCTGGAGATAATTATTTTTTTTTTTTCATTCAGAGTAGCCATAGCTCGCTTTGAAGTCAATGAGTTTGTTAATCAAAAATTTGTTAAAATGTTACCAGCCGAAATCGCTAATAAAGTAAATTCCAAATTAGGGCTTACAGATGCCCATGTTCAGTGGACGATTACGTTATTCAAAATTTGATGGCTCTAGGTACTCTTGTTTTATCACAATAGGAGAAACATACATACATTTGTGCAGATTGTTCATTATTTAATTTCTTTAAATATAATACAGGGCTCTAATATTTGGCGGCAAAAAAAAGTTTAAAAAATGTTTTGCCATTTATAGTGAATGAATGCAAAATGCCAAAACAAAATTAATAGCCCTTCTTTGCAAACTGCCGCTTTGGACTAAAAAAAGAAAGGGGAGAAGAAAAGAAAAACCTCAGAGTTTACACTCCATATTGATAATTATAAATATGCTGGTAAGGAATCTCAATTGTCATGTCTCAGAAAACATTTGAATTTTCTTCATTCCTGTAGCTATACATCAAAAAATTTTTTTCCGTTGTTGCTCATAGCACTCAATGTATTCTTATAAATAATTTGTTATCACAGCTGCCCTGCTCTTAAATCGCTTATTTGCTGTAAATTTTATTTTACTGTTTTTAATTTATTATACATTTTATTGTTCCAAAAACATATAGTATAAATTGATGCTACAAATGATAGCAAACTAGTAGTGTACTATTACTGCATTAGTACTTATTAAATGAAGTGATTTTTATAACTATCATTTATGCTGTGTTGTAAAAAAAGCTGTTATACATTAGTACATTTAATGGTAGAGGGCTTTGTTATTATGTGGTTTTACTGCGGGTAATATCCTACTTGCATAATTTATCAGTTAAATTGAAATGCAGCTCGGCTCACCAGCAGCTGAGGGGTAATTTCACTGAATGCTGATAGTTTAACTTGGGTTTAAATCCCTGTGAACAAGCTGGGTGCATGGGCATTCTCATCATTTTCTCCATATGTAGCAAGGATATGAGCCATTTTAACTTAGAAAGTCCTCCATGAAGGCATCCCTTCTTTTGATAGACATTCTTTTATGTAATCAAACAAACCAAATAGAAAATGCACAAATGGTATTTGCACATTTTTAAAATGATTCTGAAGCCATTTAAGTAATGTTTGAAATGTAAAGGGCATTTTTTTTTTTTAAATGTTTGATCTTGTAGCCTTTTTCCTGGACTGTAAGTCTCCATCATGATTTCCATGATAAAAGGGCTTTTGGTAAAATTTTTAGGGGTATTGATTTCCATTCCTCTTCTCCTAATTTCCAGAATACATCAGTCGTTGTGTGTTTTCTAATAGAAACAGCTGTTTTTAAAAGACCAAAGGCAAAATAGTGGATATGTGAAATGTTAGAGACTTTACAGGAATACATTGAAAGGTATATATGCAATACTTATATCAGTCTTCATTTTTCAAGGAATGCAGTGGTACTTTTTTAAGTATCACTTTTCTTAATGATGAAGTTTTGCTCTTTGAAAATCATTGGGATAAAGAAATGGAATTTCTTCTGTAAATATCAAATGTAAAACTTTCTCTTGATAGTACATAGAGTTGATTTTAACATTTTATTTCACACTTCTTGTTTCTAATTTCCCATTGTAAGAGAATAACTTATAATAATGTAACTCCTTACTGATACTTCATAAACCCCTTACTTTATATACCCCTCCCTTATAACTTCATAAATTATAAATTATCTTATTACTCACAAACCTCTACTGAAATTTTCTTTGTATTGATGGAAACAGATTTGTGCATTTTTTCCCTGTGTTTTCAATAATAAACATGCCCCTCTTTTTTTTGTTGCTATTTTTTAAGTAAATCCATGCTTCATCAAAGGTCACAATATATTTCCATTTATCTCTTGCTAAAGAGTTTCCATACAAGGTTTTAAAATTGTTTTGAGTTGAGCAATACGGCATGTCAAAAGTTGGTGAATATTATGTTTTTTTTATTTTTCTAAGTTGTAAATCTCAGTTTATTACTTTATTTATTGTTGTAAGAGATGTTTCAGAAACTCTGCATTTGAGTTTTGCATCAGTGGATTTTCTCTTGTTACCAATGATTTAACTTTAAGAACATTAGAAAGTACATGTATCTTTTTCATGTATTCGTTTTGAGTTTTCGTTCTGTGCAGAAGTAATGATGAGCAGTTTTTCTCTTTCTGATTTATAATACAGTACAAAGTCTGTAATCCGGATGTCCAGTAACCGGAATGATCTGTAATCCGCACCTCAAAGCCATAAACTTTTTTTTTTTGTATGGTTTAAGCATGCGAGTAATGCATTTAGCACAAAAAACGAAGCAACATAAACAACTTACATTGAAAGAAATATTTAATAAAGTAAACAAATAAATATTAAGCTTTTTTTTTTGATACCCTTTAGATCATAATTGCTCTTTATTTCATAAATCACGGTTTCATATTTTTAATTGTATGATTTTTGCATGCCATCTTACCAGATTTAAATTGGTGATCTATTATCCGGAAAAACCTCTAATCTGGAATCGCTGAAGTCCCGACGAGTCTGGATTACGGATTTTGTACTGTATTGCTTATTTTTCACATAGAAATTTTAATACTGTGTATTTACAGTGTTTATGAATTTATAATGGTTCTACAAATTTTTCATCTCCTGAATTTTTTATTTAAAAAAAAATCAAAAGTATTCTGGTTACTTCAGCCTTTTGGTTAATTGAATACCAGATACTCTAGTTTTTAATGTATTGGATTTCTATATTTGTAGTTCTATCTGAATTATTTAGGTATACAATGCTTGGGAAGTAGCTATGTGTTCTTGCTGTCTTATACATATAGGCTGGTTAATCATTAGCCCAAAAGGGACGTTAGTTCCGAATGGAATATTAGTCTCGAAATAGAATTCTGCATTGAATCACTAAAAATTATGCATCACTTTTCAAATTGTTGCTACCAAATATTACTGCTATGTGTTTTATTTAAAGAAATTAAATAATGAAGAATCTGCATGTATGTATGTGTGTTTCTTATACTGTGAAAAAAAATAGGGTATTTAGAGCCATCAAATTATAAAATATAAAAGTGAGCAGCTGAATTCATTTAATGCTCTGTCTAAATGCATTTCTAGCAACCTATTAGGATTTTAAGGGTGAGAATCTCTTTAATCCCTCTCTATCTGTAGGAAGTATGTTGAAGCATTTAATTGTGATCATGATTCATTTTCTAATGTTATAAATTCATGATGTCTTTTTAGGCACTTCATTTGTCATGTAAATTTTACTTGAAGCTTATTTCCAATTTAATTTTTACTGTAACTGTTGTTTTTGCTCAAGGATATATATTTAAATTCATTTATTTAATTCCATAAGAATGCCACATTTATTTAAAAAGTTAATTTTTCAAATTTTCTCTATTTTATAGGCCAGTTTCCATCTTTTCCTATTTTATCATTAAGAAGATTTTCTCTCTTTTCCAATGTGATCATTAGGAAGATTGCTCTTCAAGAAAAACTTGCTAGGTCACAAGGAATATCGTAAGCTCAGGTGTCACACTTTCAATAAAATATCTGCTGTATCATCTCTTCTTAAGGTATGGAATTATTTATTCCAATGAGTAATTTTTCATTTGTCAAATGTAACAGAAGTTTTAATTGGTAATTAGAGATATAGCTACAATAATTAAAGTGTTAAAATATCACTCTTGCCGTGGTGTTGCTAAAAGAAACTGGGATCTTAAAAAAACATGCTTGTTAATGCTCAGTTTCATGGTTTATTCTTAAAATTGTTAAATTCCTCAAAGCTCATTTTTGACTCAAAGCAGCATGTGTGCTTTTTGTGCTCTCAAAGCAGTGTTTTTGACTGAAGGTTTCATTCGAAAAAGCAGTTGTACATTTTTTAAGCATCTAACAAAAATTTTGATAAAAAAAAGTCATAAGGATTCATTGTATACAGTTGTTCTGAGTAATTTGTGAGATGTATAAGAATGTGTTTATTGAAATGGTGAATCTTCATGACTATCCATTTCAGGGTTCTAGTTAGGGCAAAAATTTAAACATTAACAGAGCAAAATATGGCACTCATGTGAATCAATGATGCTTTTCTTCAAGATCATGTTGTTTCAAGATATATTTCGGAAAATAAGAATTACACAAGGTTTTTACATATTTTTATAACAACTTTGACAAAGAATTTTAAACAAGCACATGTTTTTGAAGAAGATTTCTGGAGACAGCTTATTATGTGAAATATCATCTGATGCTTTTAAATATATTTTCTTTTAAAATATTGCATGTAAACAAGCTGTGGATTGAAGAATATGCTTTAGTTTTCCAGAGAGAAATATTCCTATTCCATAATTAAAAAATATTGTGAAATCATTAAAATGAAAAATAACCAAAAGAAACTGTCAGTCGATATTTCTGCAAAGAAGACTCCAAATGAATATGAAAAACAGATATGTACTGTTTCTAAAGTTAAATCATTGGTAACAAGAGAAAATTCGCCAATGCAGCAATCAATTGCAAAGTCTTTAAATACTGTAGCAACAATAAATAAAATAATAAACCAAGGTATACAAATTGAAAAAGCTAAAAAATAGTGTTCACCAAGTTTTGCTGAGGCATATGACTGAATGCAAAACAACCTGTACCTGTATAAAAACCTTTTTAGCAGAAGATAATGAAAATACATTCTGACCCTTAATGAAGAATAGGTTTACCTTAATCTGCAACAGTAAAAGGTCTAATCATTGTTGAAAATGAAGGAGAAAAAGTGTACAAAACTGGTTGCATCACTGTTGTTTCGTCCCATCCTATCCTATAACATTCATCTCACTAGGGTGTGCTGCGATGCCCCCCCCCAAAAAAAACCCAGCATATCGTCTGTAGACCACGAGCAGAGTGGTTGTCTCCTTTAACTACAGCCCCATGTTTTGTGATAGCTATCAGTACTAACAAGATTGTGTGGCTGGCATCCTTATGGCCCCTGTGCCTTTCCATTCTTGAATAAACTTTGATACTTGATTGCAGTTCCCTCTCTTTTCAATGGATCTCATTATCTAACAATTGCAAAGAAAGTTTCTGCAAGGAGTGTATGATTGTTCCAAGATTCTTTGAAAGTGGAAAATTAAAGATAAGAAGAGTAGATAAAATGTTAAAATCAGGATTTAATCTCTAACATTTGGTCCTTAACGAGACGAGGATCGAATTAAAATGACATTAACATACCTTTTTAAGCTTTTTACGCAGAAAACTTCTGTGAATTTTCAAGCTATCAAGAAGTTTTTTTTAAATTTTTATTTGCATGCATCTTTAAATGACAAAGCAAAGCAAATGGAAACAACAAATGACACGAATTATTGATCAGCACTGGAGGAAAGATACAAAAGCAAAAGAATTTTAGTAGATATTCAGATTCAGAGTATTATGAGTTATCCAAAGTTAAAATGAGAACCAGCAAAAGAATTATGTGATTTATTAGACTGTTTGAAAAAGAATTTGTATGCATTGAAACTAGTGAGTTATGAACACAATAAATTATCAGACATTTTATTAATAAACATACTTCTCCAAAAATTTGACCTTGAGTCATTCAAAGAATTTGAGATGTCAGCTATTTCAAATGAAGTTCCAGAGTTAGGTGTCTTCATTTCCTTCTTATAAAAATGAAGTCAGCTCTTAGAAAACTTCTCCACAATAGAAAAATACCGCAAACTAACAAGCTTTTGAATAAGTCGCATAATTCCACAAATTCTGCATATAATTGTTCCAAAAGTCTTCTAGTTAAATCTAACTATGGAAAGGAAGAATGCAGAATATGTCATTTTTATGCACTTGATATATAAATGTGAAGCAGTCAAAAATGCTGCTATTAATGAAGAATTTCATCTTGTTAGGAAATAATATGCTTAGTTCCAGTTGCTTGCAACCCTCTCACAAGGCAATTGACTGCAAATGTGAGACCAGCTGCTTTGCTTGTGGAAGTAGGAATCACTCATTATTTCACAATAGAACCAAGCAAGAGCTTCCCCAAGGACATACAGCCATGTCCCTTTTGGCTGAACCATGGACCCAGCCAATGATGACTGTTTCTTCCTCCCTGTGGAAGGTGGTGGAGGTGACAGGAGAAACAGAGGGAGAAAGATATGCATCCTCCCGGTTTCCAAGTGCTCCCTGTCAAAGCTCTTTGATTGTTTCTACTGAAATCAAAACTGTCTTACTAAATACACTGTAATTTACGTTTGCAATACAGTCAAAAGTCTTGAATCCGGACTCGTCAGGACTTCAGCAATTCCGGATTATTGTTTTTTCCGGATTATAGATTATAAACTTAAATCTGGTAAGATGGCATGCAGAAATTATAAAATTAAAAACATGAAACTGTAATTTATGAAATAAAGAACAATTATGATCTAAAGGGTATCAAAATTTACAAAAAAAAAAAAGCCAATTTATTTGTTAATTATTAAACATTCTTTCAACCGTGCATCGTAAAGCAGAATTACGCCTATCAAAATTAGAAATTGCAACGAGAAACTATTGTTGTATGCGTGATTTTATAATGACGAATATAATTAGAAACTAAATCATATCAAAGACGGAGTACATCGAGATCAATAAAATACACATTTAGTAAGGAATTATAAGCCAAATAAAATAAACATCTGCCTGAAGATCTTCAAGCTTACTTTTATAAAATTGCTCTAACAGTCTGCAAAAAATAATAAGCCGGATCCAATTTGAAGTTAAGGAACAACGCAATCTGCACACATTAACTGAAATACATAATTAGATCATTTTAGCTTAGCTTATACCGCATTATGCGTTTACACATGCACAGAAAGTTTGTAGCTTTGAGGTCCGGATTATAGATCATTAAGAATTATGGATGTCCCCCCCCCAAATTATGGATATCACTTCTTGAAAACCCCTAATGATTTTGATTAATGTTATTCTGAAAAACATAAAATTGGCTGATCCTCAATGTTTTAAACCTAAAAAAATAGATTTATTAATAGGAGTGAGCTATTTTTTTCAATCTTTAAAGATGGGGAAAAATTAGGTCTGAAGATAACAGATTGCTTTTTTATGAAAAAGTATTCGGATACATAATCTGAGGTGCATTAGAAGCTAAAGGTATGATACCATCAAAGCAATACTGTTATCTGACAACCAATTTGGAATCATTAAATGAAACAATTTTGGGAAATGGTTAAGCATAGAAGATAATAAACCCTCGCCTAGTGAGGAACTGCAATTCTGTGAGGAAAATTACATAAGAACCCATAGCAGAAAATCAGATAGACCTTACGTAGTAAAGATGCCTGTAAAAACTGATGATGAATAACTGTTGGAAGTTTGAGGGAAATAACGTCTAAATGCTTAGATCACCTATGGAATCGTTTGGAACACCAAATAACAAATTTATATAACACAGTTATGAAAGAATATGAACAGTTAAATCATGTAATGGAAATTAACCTGAAACTGAGGAGCCTATTTTTCACCTCACCATGGGGTTTATAAACCGGAAAAAAGTAGCACTAAACTAAGTACTAAAAAAGTAGTACTAAAGTCTGCGTACAGATTAAATTTTAAATTAAAAAAAACACTTAAAGCATAGACAAATATATTTTAATCATTGCATTTTTTTTCTTCTATTAGCTAAAATTGTAAGCTTAAATAAAAAGTAAATAATATCAGTGTAATACTTTAACATTTTCAAAAATATATTTTGTCAAATACTCAGAAATTCCTCCAATATGTTGTACACTTTAAAAAAAAGCAAATATAAGTTTTTTACATTACCATACTTTGTGGATATCCTTATCTTCAAACCTTGCCGAGTTCTGGAATGATGAACTAGTTTTTTAGTGTCACATCCGACGTAAATTTTGCCCCTTTCCTGCAATTTACTATAGCTATTCGCGTCGTAATATTGGTTTTCGAATTCTTTCTCCAATTTTGCCACAAATTTCGATTGGATGGAGGTCTGGTGACTGTGGAAGGAGAACGCACTGTCTTGAAGTGTGATAGAGGAGATTCCTTCACAAATTTTAGCTGTATGTTTCGGGTCCTTGTCTTTGTGGAAGTCAAGTATTAGAAAGGTTTAAAATTTCAGGCACTGTCTAGTCGATTTTTCTTGAGAATATCCAGATAACAACTATATATCCATGACTTTTCAATAATGTGAAAATTTTCCAACTCCTTTCGACGACATTACAACCCATACATCACCCGCCAGCTCCATGTTGACAGTTGGATTTAATTTTCAGATTCAGTTTTTTTCCTGCTTTCTCCATACAATAGGGGGCCATAACTTTAAATTTGTAAATTTACTTTCATCTCTGACAAATTACTTGTTCCAGACGCCCTGGCGAAGAGTTTAAATATGTTTTGCAAAAGCAATTTTTTTCTTTCTATTTGTCGCGGAAATGTATGGCTTAGACCTAGGTTTGCTCCATGATAATCGGTTTTTGCAGACTTTTCGTACATTTCAGGAGAAATTTACTTGGCTAGTTAAAAAAATCTTTTGTAATGCTTGCCAGAAGAAGTTTAGGATTTTGTTTGATTCATAAAGAATTTTCCTTCT